TCCTACAATGATAGAGGAAGATATGAGATGTCCCCTTGCTCTCCTACAGTGATAGAGGAAGATATGAGATGTCCCCTTGCTCTCCTACAATGATAGAGGAAGATATGAGATGTCCCTTTGCTCTCCTACAGTGATAGAGGAAGATATAAGATGTCCCTTTGCGCTCTTGCAGTGAGGACCCAAGGCTTTGGATTCAGGGCAGTTCTTACCCAGGGATGGGCTCCTGAACCTGACTGGAGGCTGGGGTTCCTTCTGGATGATCGGTAGTGTGGACTTCAAATCACTGATGAGGTCAGTGCTTCATCTTTCTGCGCCAACACTAATTTCTCAGGCCACAGGAAGTATGGAAACCCCACTCAGAAGAGTGACTTCCCTCCAGCTGGCTCCTCTCTAGCTTCCAGACACGTAACACAGTCTGACTGGGACAGTCATGGGCAAATTTCTTTAGAAAGTTTGCCCATTCCTCTTCCTTGGAAACTCCTGGCAGGAAACAGAATCCCTAAGTGTTCCCCCTCCCCCGAGTCCCAAGTGTGGTATTAGGTTTGTCAGCTTAAGACATCAAGAGTTAATCTCTTCCTGAAAATGCAAGAGCTATGAGAGGGGAAAACAGCTCACAAAATCTGTCTGCCAGGGTAGGAAGATGGTGTTCCCGGGGGCACAGGAAAGAGAGATGTGTACACAAAGCAGTACTCAAAGGGCAACTGAGGAGCACAGCAAGAGGAAGAAGTTGATTTAAAAAAAACACAACCATTTCTCTTTCCTGCCCCACACTCACTGCCTGCACTACTGAGATGATTTAGTGAAGAATGTGTTCTCTACAAGACTAAGATCCTAGAGAACTCCTGAGGCTCGGCGTTCCAAGCCTTTAACTTCTCCCCTCTGGTCAGACAGACAGCATGTATCTATTTCCCCAGCCCCCACTATTCCAAGTGACTAAAGTGGCTCTCCAGGGCCCGCTGGACAAACCAAGAGGCATCATGCTTGAGACAGGTGATGGTACCCTGGCTTCTGGAGAGAATGTGGGAGGCCAATTCTTAGATTATTCCCTCTGGGCTGGTCTCATCTCTCCAGAACCCATGGAGCTATTTACCAAAGCAATGATCTGACTTAGGCAAAACAACAAGCACCTAGAGAATCCCAGGTCCCCTCTCCCTCTGCATGTTGCCTTGCTGGGCTCAGGATTGCAAAGGGTGAGCCAGAGCTCCTCTCTGGAGAGCCTTTCAGGTGTTCCATTTCCTTGCATGCTTGAGTTCAGATAATTGTTTTTATTCATTTGTTTCTATTTTCTGTGTATGACAGAATTGCTTACATGTTTGCAAGTGCCCTTTGCACATGTCTAGTGCTTGTGGAAGCCGGAGAAGCTGCGGGAATCTCTGGATCTGGAGCTATCAAAAGAGGTAACCCCATCCCTCGGGTCCCAAGTTCAGATAATTTAAGAAAGTCTAAGCAGGAAAGTGAGACATGAGTGACTCAGGACCCCAACTGATTTTGGAGAGCAGGGTGCTCCAGTGCAGTAACACATAAAAGTAGCATTTGCAGGGAAACCAGTCTTGACTTCCACAAACTTTCTATAATACAACTTTAAAATTTGAGGTACTAATGGTATTACATTGAACCAATAGAAGGCATTTCTCCTTTTAGCATTTGAAGTATTTATCTAACTAACCTCTATCAATAAACACTCTGGAGTTGGATATCAGGGTAAAAACCTCAGTGATAAGACAAGTGGCTGTGGAGTGACCAGTGACCTCTCTCCTTCTTTCCTTGATCCAAAAGTGCCTAGACTCTCCTAAGCCCCGCCCTACTATTTCCTGTGTCTCCCTATATGTCCTTTGTCCTCCAAAACCTCTATGGCTAATTTTGGTCAGCTTGTACTTAACTCTACCCTCTGATTCTAAGCAAACTTTATTGCCAGTCTCAAGGAGTGTCATCAGAGTGAGATCAGAATAACCCACAACAAGCTTCAGAACATCTTCTAGTCTCTTATTTTTGCCAATCAATAGAGATCACCTCTTCAATAGGAATGATATAAATGGGTGCATGTTCCCACGTGAGGACAACTTTCAAAACTGCATCTGCAGATATTTTATGAATACTCCATACACAAGAAGGAATAGCTGCTGAAGGTTTTGGAGCTTCCACTGGGTCTCCACAGAGAAGGTAAGTTCAGCAGCCTTAACACCTCCAGGCTAATCCTTACATGTCCGAGCCACAGACAGAAGCCCATGCAGCATTAGCCACAGCTGTCTGTACATTAGGGAAAAGGCACCCTGAAGGAAGCACAATAGAGCTGTCTTGAGTCGGGCCTTCACTGCTCTCGGGACACACAGGAAATGACATCTGTTTGGAGCAGATAAATGGATGCTTTCCTATAGCAAGTTCGTGTTCATAGCTGTTTTTCCCCCATTGAATTATAGGCATTTCTGGTTGGTTCCTGAAAGCCCTATGATGTATAGGTGTAAATATCATGTGCCCCAGGTCCTGCCCATCCAGTCCTCTACAGCTCCCTTTCTTCCTCTCAGTCAGAGCCTGTGGCTGTTTGCAACTCTTTCTTGGTCAGTATTCACTGCAGAATTCTGGTGCTGGCCTTAAGCAAAGATATATTCTGCTGCAAAGGAGCTGTCTACAGTGTGGAACCCAAACCAGGCCCAAGCAGTAACAGGGAAAAAACAGCACAAATCTCTTCTATGAGAGCGTGGAGCTCAAAACTGTAGCTCTATGCCATGGAAATCAGTCCTTGTCCCCACCACGCTGTTGGTGTTTCTTTGACAATGTGTCCTTACAAGTTTAACATAAGATTTCTAGACAAATCCCATTGGAACTGAAGATTTATCCCCTTCCTTATACGCACATGCCAGTGAAATAATAAAGAAACATTGGATCTGGGAGATGTTGTAGTGGTTAAGAACACTTTTTGCTTCTAGCCTCTTGTAACTACACATGTTACTCATATATGCATCACATACACATCACAACACACACTCTGTCTCTCTCTCTCTCTCTCTGACACCCATGGAGGGAGGGAGGAAGAGAGGGGGAGAGAATTTCAAAAACACTTAATATAGTGAAGGAATTAAACAATTGGAAACTACTTTGTAACTGTTGTCCATGTTTTGCAAACACTGTCCCCTGCTGGTTAGCTCTTGAGTTTTCTGTGTTGCTTCCCCAGTCTGGAAATGTTAAGCAATGTTTTTGGAGTTTTGTTTGATTTTGGTGTGTGTGTGTGTGTGTGTGTGTGTGTGTGTGTGTGTGTGTGTGTGTGTGTGTGTGTGTCAGTGTGCCCATGCGCACTTATTTGCTTCTGAGTGACCACAGGGAGGGCAGAAGGCTGCTTGAAGGCAGCTTCTACCACTCTTCAACACTTTGCCCTTGAGACAGGGTCTCTCACTGAATTGCTCTCTGTGAGATTGGCTTCAGGGAGTTCCAGGATCTGTCAGTCTTTGCTTCCTGGTGCTGGGACACAAGTGGTCTCACCAGATTTTTATTTGGGTGTTGAAGATTCAAACTCAGGTCTCCATGCTTGCACAGCAAATGTTCTTACCCATTGAGAGCTAATACCCATCTCCCCAGCTCAACATATTTATGACATGTTATTCTAGAGAGCCCTCTTTTCTCATCCCTTGTTTAATACCATGTTACTGTGCCTACACAAGAATCCAAACACAAACATCTATGTCAGTTTTGTTCACAATGTGCAAATGCAGAGGCAGCACAGATAACTTTCAGTAAGTGGATGGATGACTGGATAAAGTGACACATCCAGACAATGGAAACTAAAAGGAGATGAGTTGTCTAGACACACAGAGCCCCAGAGGAAACCTATACATATCCTCCTGACTTAGTCGTCTGTTTGGGATTGTGTGTTACGGTCTTGGCTCTGCAAACCATTTTTTGACACTGTCTATAGAGTGATAGGGTGAGATAAAACCCACAGCAATTGTCCCTTTGGAACACACCATGAACCTGGGGACACTATCTGTGTGTGATCCAGGTACCCCCATTACTCTCTGAAGAAGAAGGGATCAGTCAGAAACTCTGAAGTCTACAGGCTGTAATAAAAATGTTCTTCCAGTTCTCAGGTACCCCAGTGGCTCAAGTTCCCATGGCACATCTCTATAATATGGATCTGTACCTGTGTTTAGACTCCATGCATGGAATCTCACTGGCTGTCCATTCATCTTCATGTGGACACTGCTGGAAAACACTTTCCAGATGCCTTGTGCCCTATGATCCGCACTAAATTGTTCTTCTCCCATATCCTAAAATTTCTAAAAATTGGTGCGAATCTGATTTGGGTACTAGAAGAGATTGGCAGCTGTACTTCCAATATAGAAATTGTTTTCTCTGTGATTTTATGACTGGGTGAGGGTTCTGGCTACTATGACCCTTGGCTTAGATTTCCTTGGGAGATTCCAACAAAAGGTAAATATACAAACCGTGGTCAGAGGTGGGCTGATCATCTTGAGGTCTGAGCATACAAATACATGCCATACACTTGGAGACAACAGGAAAGAAAGAGATGTGCTAGGTATCTATCTACATCCCAGCCTGTTCTCAAGTTCAATTCAAAGATTGAAAACCATCAGGCAAAAATAGAGGGAACAGTCAAAATACAGGTTTATGGATAAGCCATGGAGGAAGATTGTGGTAGTTTAAATGCTATTAGTCCCCAAATTTCATAGCGAGTGTTATTAGGAGGAGTGGCTTTGCTGGAGTGGGTATGGCCTTGTTGGAAGAAATGTGTCACTGTGGAGGTGGACTTTAAGGTTTTCTATGCTCAGGACCCCCCCCCAGTATCAGTGGACTTCCGGTTGTGTGAAAGATACAGAACTCTCAGCAACTCCTCCAGCACCATGTCTGCCTGCATGCTGCCATGTTCCCTGCCATGATGGTAATGGTCTGAACCTCTGCACCTGTAAGCAAGTCACCCCAATAAATGTTTTCATTTATAAGATTTGCCATGGTCATGGTGTCTCTTCACAGCAATTGAAACACTAGGACACAATGAAACCTTATATTTATTGAAGACTATATACATAATGGTAGGGCAGGAAATAGTTGACAAAGAATATTGTAAGATGACACTGTGTTAGGTACATAAGATAAAGGTAAAGATCTATAGAAATCAGGGTATAAGTCTTGCTTCTTCTAGGTAGGCTCTGGTGACACTAAAGAAACATAAGGAACTATGTCTAGTTTCCACCAGAGTGTGGATTTCAGTGTTTTCTACTAGACATCCACATTAAAATTGTGTCTGTACTCCAGGGTCATCACATTGTTAAGTTACTTGATGTTTTTAATCATATCAAATTGAAGGTCAAGGTCAACGGAGCGGCCAAGTTGAGGGTCAAGGTCAACAGAGTGGCTAGGTCTTGAAGCCTGTGTTGGACCTTGTGGTGGTTCCAGTTTCCTCTGAGGTGTTGGTGTTAACAACATGAGATCATCTTGTCCTGGATCTCTTGAAGTCCAGGTAGCAGTTGGGCACACAGTGACTCCCGGGTGCGGCCCACACACCCATCATGCCAGTGTCTGCCCAGACTGTTTATCTCGTGTGGTCTAGATGTCCAGATGGCCATGGCTTGTGCTCCCGATCCTCCAACATAAGAAATCTCCTGGGTGTGATGAAGAGAGAATGAGGACTACAACTGTCAAAGTTAAACTTGACTCAGGCTTCTTGGTACTAAGTTAGCCCCCAGCCCACACTGATTTTGATCGTCCTTCAGTCATCAGCTTCAGAACCCTTGTTTAGGAATCCAAGATTTTTGATGGATGGAATGGTGGGGGGCGGGTTTCAGGTGAATCACAATAAGACCCTGTGCTATCTAATTCTTCTTGATATTAAGGAGAGTGGTTCCTTGTTCCATTAAAGGTCATTGCATAGTCCTTGCTCCCTTGCTGTGAGTGTATCACTGGGTCCTATGGAGAGAGGGTACGGCCCACATACCCTAACATTTAAGCTAGACCCAGGTAGTAGAAGGTACTCAGAGTATGCCATTCTTCAGACACCTCACTCATGGTGTTAATGTGTGTTCAACCTTCTTGGAGCAGTAGGTGTGGCCCTGGTCAGACTTCACGTCAGCTTTTCATCCTTGCTCTCTGAAAGTCCTCATACAGGAAGACCTGGGCACAGAGGATTTGCTGGGTGCGGCCCACACACCCTTGATCCCAAGCTGTGTTATTGTTATTTGATGTTTATGTGAGGCTCAGATTACTAGAGAGCAATGAGGTCTTAATCCATCTGCTGTGAGATTGTTTGTTGGATGTGTTGGAAGAATAGCAGGTACATCTCACAAACTACAGTGGTACCACAAAGAAGAATCTAGATTAGCATTGATGACAGTTCATGGTCTATGATGTGATGTCAATCATCAGTGCAAGAATGGTTGTGGTTGAGTCCAAATTTCTAAGTGCAATAGCATGGATTGGGTCACAAATGAGGCTATTTGTAAAACAAAATAAATTGACGTGAGAAAATGCCTGGCCTCAGACCAGGTTTTCGTCATGGGTATGTCCATTTCCTTTGGTCATTAAGGTGAGGTTTGATCTGGGTCACAAATGAGGCTATGGTTTGTCCAAAAATATTTGAAGTGAGATAATGCCTGACCTCAGACCAGGTCGGCGTCATAGATATGTCCTTTTCCTTAGGTCATTAAGGTGATATATTGTCCCTTTAAAGACTCCCTCCTTTGTGGTGGGATCTTGTACTGGGTTGACTAGAGGGTGTGGTCCACACACCATGTAATATTAGTCCAGTTACTTAGGGTTCAAGGAGGTGCTAGGTTTCCTTTCAGGTCTGCTTATGGCCTTGAACCTGTATCAATAATCAAGTCATTATCAAGTTCCCCTTCTTGGAGGGGATAATGCATCCAGATTTCAGTTAATCAGATCAAGTTCTGGGTTTGCCCAAGATTCTTGGTGAGCAGTCTATGGCTAGAGTATGAGAAATTTTCTTTAAAAAAAAGTCAGTCAAGATAAGGTGCAGGGTGCATTGTAACACCCTTTTTGGTAAGGTGCATCCATGTTACTGGATTATTTAGGTGAGTCCTTGGCACTTTATGGCAATGTTGTCATCCTTTTTAGCGTGTTGAAGATGTTGGGTTGAATGAAGTGTGTGTGTGAGAGCCACACATCTGGTACTCAGAATGTCACTTATATCAATCATTATAGGAAGCATAGAGGGTTAGTCCAAGGCTATACTTGACAAGTGTGCACTGATGTCTTGGTTAGGTGTAAAATAAGAACTGAAATTAAGGCCTTGTTCAGAGAACCTCATGGTACAAAGTACAACCACGGTGTTGTTTAACTTTAGATTGGCAGTGGGTTCAGGCTTCTTTGGGAGGGGATTAATCTGTGCTGATATTACATTAGTTTTTTGTGACAAAATTTCGTCATTGTTAGGATCAGGATTGTCCTAGGCACACTCATTTTCTTGGTCTGGCCCAGGCCACTTTCTCTTGATTGGCCAAGGACAAATTCTCCGGATAATTGTGCTCAGGCTCCTTTAGGGTCAGGGGTTAGCCCAGGCCCACATCTCTTCTTGCTTTGGGCCTGGGATTTTCAGGATCAGGATTGGCCTGGGCACACTCATTTGCTTAGTCTGGCCCAGGCCTCTTCTTTTGACTGGCCCAGGCCAAATTCTCTGGATAATTGTGCTCAGGCTTCTTTAGGGTCAGGGGTTAGCCCAGGCCCACATCTCTTCTTGCTTTGGGCCCGGGTCATTTCAGGATCAGGATTGGCCTGGGCACACTCATTTGCTTGGTCTGGCCCAGGCCTCTTCTTTTGACTGGCCCAGGCCAAATTCTCTGGATAATTGTGCTCAGGCTTCTTAAGGGTCAGGGGTTAGCCCAGGCCCACGTCTCTTCTTGCTTTGGGCCCGGGCCATTGCAGGGTCAGGAATGGCCTGGGCACACTCATTTTCTTGGTCTGGCCCAGGCCTCTTCTTTTGACTGGCCCAGGCCAAATTCTCTGGATAATTGTGCTCAGGCTTCTTAAGGGTCAGGGGTTAGCCCAGGCCCACATCTCTTCTTGCTTTGGGCCCGGGCCATTGCAGGGTCAGGATTGGCCTGGGCACACTCATTTTCTTGGTCTGGCCCAGGCCTCTTCTTTTCACTGGCCCAGGCCAAATTCTCTGGATAATTATGCTCAGGCTTCTTAAGGGTCAGGGGTTAGCCCAGGCCCACATCTCTTCTTGCTTTGGGCCCGGGCCATTTCAGGGTCAGGATTGGCCTGGGCACACTCATTTTCTTGGTCTGGCCCAGGCCTCTTCTTTTGACTGGCCCAGGCCAAATTCTCTGGATAATTGTGCTCAGGCTTCTTTAGGGTCAGGGGTTAGCCCAGGCCCACATCTCTTCTTGCTTTGGGCCCGGGCTATTTCAGGGTCAGGATTGGCCTGGGCACACTCATTTTCTTGGTCTGGCCCAGGCCTCTTCTTTTGACTGGCCCAGGCCAAATTCTCTGGATAATTGTGCTCAGGCTTCTTAAGGGTCAGGGGTTAGCCCAGGCCCACATCTCTTCTTGCTTTGGGCCCGGGCTATTTCAGGGTCAGGATTGGCCTGGGCACACTCATTTTCTTGGTTTGGCCCTGGCCTCCCTCCTTTGATTGTCCCAGGCCCATGTTTCCTCTCCAGTGAGATGTGGGTGTTGTCTTCCTGAGTCCTTGTTACACTAGTTCTTTGTCACACATCCTACTGATTCTTCCTGCAGCTTTTTCTACAGCTATAGCACAGGTCTTGTTAAAGAACCACATTGTGCCTCATATCCTTTATCATCCCTGCTCCCAGTATAGCACAGTGAAGTTCAATTAGGCCTTCATCCCAGGAACCCTGTGCATATTTCTCCCTCCACAGTGCCTAAAGCTTCCTCTAAACACATCCAAGTGAAAACCTGTATAAGCACAGAATTAGAAGGAGAGTACTGCCATGGCGCTTCCTGTGACAGTGACATTGGTGTCTATTCCCATATTATGGCTGCTGTCTATCTTAGTGCAAATGAAAACATTGCTGCCACCAGGGACTAGAGTTCTCAGGGAAGGTCAGACATCAGTGCCAGGGATCCTTTGCCTACACTCCCTGAACAAGCTACATGTGATTGTCAAATGTGGGCATACATACAGGAACCCACTGTCTTTCTCAGCTAGGTCAGAGGCTGGAGTCCTGTTCCAAATCCACTGTGTGGCGTCATCCCAAGGCCTCTCTCTCTGTGAGTGGAGGGGTTTCTCTCCATGTGGTCTTGAGGTTCCTGTCCCACTGCTATGAGACATCTGACTTCTGCTGTTTCTAGTCCTTCTTTGGATGAGCTGTCCTCAGGCTGGGACATTTCAAATACCTAGCTATGTTTCATTGTCCCCATTTAAGATCTCAATAAAGAAGTGCCTCAAACTGAGTGAGTCACTCAGGTGATTAATTTCAGGTAGTGTCCATCCCAGAAAACAGCCCAAACTTACCCAGTCACATGCACCTGCTGTGGTTCAAGCCCTCCTTCTGGACTGTGGCTTGTCATCAGGTAAGACCACCAGCATTACTAGGACAGGGTTCAATTGTGAGGTCACAGAGGCCTCACCTACCTCATGCTGAGAATCCCAGGTCATCCAGACCTCAATTATCTCCCAGCCTGACCCATCCTTGTTCTTTGCCAATCTATGTGCAAACATCTTTGGAAGCACTTAGCTTTGGGAAAGCAGCTAGAATTGTTTCAGGAATATTTCCGTGAGCATGCATCACATTTCTCTCCTGTCATTCCTCCATCTTTCCACAAGTACCATCACCGTTGAGAGGAGGAACGCTGTTGATAATGCTGCTTCCTCAGCTCAATTGTCTAAACTCACACTCTGCCTCATCATCTCAGATTCTTCATAGTCACCATGGTGTACTGCTGGCACTCAGGCTGTGGGGTACCATCTTCTGTGCCTTCTACCTGGCTCCAACAGTAGCCATATCTTATTTTCTACTTAACTCTCTGCATCATTGATCTTGAGTTTGTTTGTGGGTTATTAGCTTGTTCTTGTCTGGTATTCCTGTGGCCCTGAGTTATAGAATGAACAGCACAAAAATACATAGATGAATAACTAATAAATGCATACAGCATGGATGATTCACAATAGAGTTGCAGGCAGAGCCCACCTTGTGATGTACAGAGACCCCTGGAAACACAAGGTTTTCCTTGTCCCAAACCAGCTGACCTTTCACTCAAAAAGCTGTGTGCAGGAATGATGAAGCTGTCCAGAAATGTGCCAAGACCTTTGTCCCCAGGTGTGTGCAGGTTATGCAGTGGTAATCAAGTTTTGTTAGCCCTGCTCTGACCTGAGACTCTTTGTCAAATCTGTGATTCCCCTGTGCTGGAAGTTCAGTCTCTCAATCACCAGGTTTCCAGTGTTTTTCATGAAGGGATGATGGATGTAAATCATGATGGTCACCAAACAAGGCAATTTCTGGCCAACCTGTTCATGGGGCTAACGTGCATTCTGTGTAGACTCGAAATGTTGTAAGGCTCAGACATTAATTGTGAAAATCTTGAAGGAGAGTCAATGGGTTCTTTTCTTTTTTAAGAAAGGGGACATAAAGGTATGGGTAGGGAGCTGAGGGTAGATTTGGAAGGAGTTAGGGGGAGGATTGTGGGGTAAATAAGATCAGAATATATTGTGTGATATTGTCAAAGAATTAATAAAATATTTATTCATTTACTCATTCATTTATTTATTCGACTTCATGTATTGAACTCTTTGAACATCCAAATACAAACAACCATGGCCCTTGCCTGGCCTCATCACCTTTCTTTAGTTGTGGAGAAAGATTCTATAACCCCTTTCTCATATAATTGTTCTAAAGCTGTATTTCTCTACCTGTGGTCAGGACCCTTTGGGGTGGTATTGAAAACTCCATTCACAAGGGGTATCCTTAGACCATAGGATATTTACATTACAATCCATAACAGTAGCAAAATTACAACTATGAATCTGCAATGAAAATAACATTATGGTTGTGGTTCATCACATCATACGGAACTATATTAAATGGTTGCAGCATTAGGAAGGTTTAGAACCACCTCTCTAAAGCCATAATCACGTGTGATAAGCTAAAAGTTCTACTGCTTCCTGAAGATGGAACATTGCCCCTCCTTCACATACATTTTCAACAGAATTCTGGTTTTTATCGTTGCCTTCACTGTCTAAGCTTACCAGTCCTGGAATTCAGTCTGTAGACCATGTTGCATGAACTCAGAGATCTACCTGCCTGTGCTTCCAGAGTGTAAAATATCACAAGAACAGTCTCTAGTCCACATACTAAAATTCTTCTCCTCTGAAACCTCCTGAGTCAGGCCCTCACAGTTCAAAGCACTCTCAGCACCACCATCTTCCATACTCCTACTGGTGAGGACCATTAAGCCCCACTTAAAGTGTTCAACTGCTTTCCTAGTCCAAAGTCCACAATCCTCCAAACAAAAGTGTGGCCATCCCAACACAGCAGCAATACACCACTTCTGACAACAACTACTGTCTAAGCTAGCGTTGTATTTCTTTGCAGAGAAACCATGACCATGTGATAGTTTGAATGTAATTTGCCCCTATAATCTCATAAGGAGTGGCACTATTAGGAGGTGTGACTTTGTTGGAGTGAGTATGGCTTTGTTATAAATGTGTCTCTACGGGGGCAGGCTGTGAGATTTCCTGTGTTCAAGATCCCACTCTGTGTCTCAGTTCACTTCCTGTTGCCTTCTATATATATATATTTTTTAATTTAAATTTAAATTAGAAACAAGTTTGCTTCACATGTCAATTGCAGGTCCCTGTCCATTTCCCTCCCCTCCTCCAGTGCCCTCCCACCAACCCCCCCAATATCCCCTCATTTCCCCAGGGATGGTTAGGCCCTAAAAGGGGGTGTCCATAGTCTGTCATTTCATCCAGGGCAGGGCCTAGACCCTCCCATAAGAGTTCATGGTGAGAGTGCATCTCTCATTTTGGATGGGAGTCCAAAGTCCATTTGTATACCTGGGATAAATACTGATCTACTACCCAAGGCCCAATAGATTACCTAGGCCTCCTCACCGACACCCACATTCAGGGGATCTTGATCAGTTCCATGCTGGATTCCCAGGCATCAGTCTGGGATTCAAGATCTAACCCTTGTCAAGTCAGCTGTTTCTGGGGGTTAAACCAGCGCAGTCTTAATGCCTTTGGTCATAAGTCCTCCCTCTCTGTCACTGGATTTCTTGAGTTCAGCTCAGTGCTTAGCCGTGGAAGTCTGCCTCTGCTTCCATCAGCCACTGAATGAAGGTTCTGTTTCCCAGACTCTCTGGCCATGGGATTGTAGGCTGGCACTCCACAGATCTATGTCTAAAATCCATATGTGAGAGAGTACATGCCATGTTTCTCTTTTTGTGACTGGGTTACCTCACTCAGGATGGTTTCTTGTAGTGCTGTCCATTTGCCTGCAAATTTCAGGATCCATTGTTTTTTCTGCTGAATAGTACTCCACTGTGTAAAAGTACCACATTTTCTCTATCCACTCTTCGGTTAAGGGGCATCTAGGTTGCTTCCAAGTTCTGGCTATTACAAATAATGTTTCTATGAACATAGTGGAACAGACATCCTTGTTGTATGAATGGGCATCTTTTGGATATATGCCTAAGAGTGTAGTTCCTGTGTCTTGTGGTAGATTGATTCTCATTTTTCTGAGGAATCTCCATACTGATTTCCAAAGTGGCTGTATAAGTTGGCATTCCCACCAGCAATGGAGGAGTGTTCCCCTTTCACCACATCCTCCCCAGCATAAATTGTCATTGATGTTTTTGATTTTCGCCATTCATACAGGAGTGAGATGGTATCTCAGAGTTGTTTTAATTTGCATTTCCCTGATTTCTAAGGATGTTGAGCACTTTCTCAAGAGTCTCTCAGCCATTTTAGACTCCTCTCTTGAAAATTCTGTATTTAGTTCTGTAGCCCACTTTTTAATTGGATACTTTGGTGTTTTGGAGACTTGCTTCTTGAGTTCTTTGTAAATTTTGGAGGCCAGCCTTCTGTCAGATATGGGGTTAGTGAATATTTTTCCCATTCTTTGGGCTGTCTTTTTGTCTTGCTGACTGTGTCCTTTGCCTTACAGAAGCTTCTCAGTTTCAGGAGGTTCCATTTATTAATTGTTGATCTCCCTGTCTGTGCTACTGGTGTTATGTTCAGGTAGCTGTCTCCTGTACCAATTTATTCAAGGGTACCACCCACTTTCTCTTCTAAGAGGTGCAGTGTGGCTGCATTTATGTTGAGGTTTTTGATCCATTTCGACTTATGTTTTGTGCATGGTGATAGACATGGATCGATCGACATTCTTCTACATGCCAGCATCCAGTTATGCCATCACCATTTATTGAAGATGCTTTCTTTTTTTCCATTGTATATTTTTAGCTTCTTTGTCAAAGATCAGATATTCATTCATGTGTGGGTTAATATCAGGGTTTTCAATTAGATTCCATTGGTCTACCTGTCTATTTTTGTGTCAATGCCAAGCTGCTTTCAGGACTACAGCTCTATAATAGAGCTTGAAGTCAGGGATGGTGATGCCTCCAGATGTTGCTTTGGTGAATAAGGTTGTTTTGGCTATCCTTGGTCTTTTGTTTTCCATACAAAGTTGATTATTGTTCCTTTAAGGTCTGTGAAGAATTGTGCTGGGATTCCAATTAGTTGGAAGTGTAATGGCTTAAGCAAAGAATGCTGCTTTTAAAATTAAACCAGGACTGGGAAGAGTGTTCAGTGGGGAAAGACGCTTGCTTCCAATCCCAATGACCTGAGTCCTACAGCCAGGATTCACAAAGTCGAAGAAGAGACCTGAGTCCCTCAAGTTGTCCTCTGACCACACATGTGTCCCGTGCCCATGCCCCCAACACACACAAATAAATAAAATTGAAATTTGTAAAACGAATAAGCATTCTCAATTAAAAGGTATAGTCATTGAAGGTAAAATAAGGAAATAGGCAAGTTTTTGTTTTTTAACTTTTCAAATAGTCTAATGTAATGCAGACCTGTCACAAATATACAAAACCACAATATCATCTGATTAGATACAGAAAAGTTCTTTGACAAAATCCAAGTCCTCCATCGTGAAAGTTCTGGAGAGATTAGCAATACAAGGAACATACGTAAACATAATGGCAGTTTACAGCAAGCCCGTAGCCAACATCAGTATAAATGGAGAAAAACTCAAAGCAAATCCCCTAAAACCAGCAACAAAACAAGACTGTTCACTCTCTCCATACATATCCCATACAGTACTTGAAGTCTTACCTAGAGCAATAAGACAACTGAAGGAGATCAAGGGGATACAAATTGTAACGGATGAAGAGAAAGCATCTTTTTTTATTATCTTTTTTATCATTTTTTATTTTAATTTTAAATAGCTTGCTTTACATGTCAATCCCAGTTCCCTCTCCCTCCCCTCCTCCCGCACTCCCCTTCCACCCTCCCTCCCACCCTATTGCCAAATCCTTCCACATAGGGGATATCTAGAGTCTGTCATTTCACTCTGGGTAGGGTCCAGGCACTCGCCTAAGAGTCCAGGCTGAGAGAGCATCCCTCTTTGTGCTATAGGCACACGAAGACTGTTTGTATATCAGGGATAGACACTGATCCACAGCTCAGGGCCCCATCGGTTGCCCAGGCCTTCTCGCTGACACTCACATTTGGGGGGTCCAGATCAGTCCCATGCTGGCCTCCCCACTGTCGGTCTGGGGTCCAAGAGCTCTCTCCTGTTCAGATCAGCTGTCTCTGCTGGTTTTGCCAGCCCATTCTTTGCCAATTTGCTCATCACTCCTCTCTCTCTGTCACTGGGTTCCTTGGGTTCAGTTCAGTGATTAATTGTGTGTTTGTCTCTGCTTCCATCAGTCACAGGATGAAGGCTCCCGGATGGTTATAGACATCAAGTTCATTATCAGGAATGGGCATTCGAGGTGGTCTCTCCACTATTGCTTAGCTTGCCAATTGGTGTTATCCCTTTAGATCACTCTGGTGCCTGATCTGTCTTCTAACCTATGATTCCCTCTTCCCTCTATTCTACTCCCCCCCACACAACTTGCTGTTCCCCCATGACCAACTCTCTTCCTCTTCACCCCCTCTTCTTCCCAGGTCCCCCTCCCCCCCACCCCTCACCGTGTTCCCCATCCATTCAGAGGATCTTGTCTCAATCCTCTTCTCTTGGGTACTATGCATATATACATAACTTTTAGGTTCTTTCCTGTTTCCCAGACTCTCTGTCAGTGGAAGTGCAGACTGGCACTATCCTGATCCATGTCTAAAATCCATATATGAGTGAGTACATACCATGTTTGTCTTTTTGCCACTGGGTTACCTCACTCAGGATGGCTTCCTCCAGTGCCATCCATTTCCCTGCGAATTTCAAGATTCCATTGTTTTTTTCTGCTGAGTAATACTCCATGGTGTAAATGTACCACATTTTCTCCACCCACTCTTCAGTTGAGGGGCATCTAGGTTGCTTCCAGGTTCTGGCTATTACAAATAATGCTGCTATGAACATAGTGGAGCAGATGCCCTTGTTATATGAATTTGCCTCATTTGGATATATGCCCAAGAGTGGAATTGCTGGGTCTTGTGGTAGATTAATTCCCATTTTCCTGAGGAATCTCCACACTGATTTCCAAAGAGGCTGTACGAGTTGGCACTCCCACCAGCAGTGGAGTAGAGTTCCCCTCTCTCCACATCCTCTCCAGCATAAATTGTCTTCAGTGTTTTTGATTTTAGCCATTCTGACAGGAGTAAGATGGTATCTCAGAGTTGTTTTGATTTGCATTTCCCTGATGGCTAAGGATGTTGAGCACTTTCTTAAGTGTCTCTTGGCCATTTTAGCCTCCTCTATTGAGAATTCTCTATTTAGATCTGTACCCCACCTTTTAATTGGATCCTTTGGTGTTTTGGAGACTTGTTTCTTGAGTTCTTTGTAAATTTTGGAGATTAGCCGTAAGGACGCATCCCAAGTGATCTGCTTCATCCAACTACTCCCCAACACCTGTCACTACTGAAAATAATGTTACCACATTATGAATACATACAGTGATTAAAAAAGACTGATTATGTCAGAGGCCCCAAGATATAACCTTCCCTGGATATAACATCAACGGGTATAACCTTACTTGAGGCTGTTTTAAAATTCATCAAATTGACACGCAAGTTAACCTCACAGGAGGCGTCTGGTACACTGTAGAACAACTTAAAAAAATCATTGATCTAGCAAAATTTTCAGGACTCCAAAAGGAAAATTATCACACTCAAGATTGGCTATTTGGGGGAAAATATTATTCTAATTACCAGAAATGGATAAATTTAACAATATATTTATAAATTTGATGAAAGGTAGTTTTTCCCTTTTAAGAAATGCTTTTTAACTCTTTGTGAATTTCATACACATATACAATATATTTCAGTCATATCCGCCTTCCTTCCCCAAGTTTACATCTTTTTATGATTTTGAATGACTTACTTAGTCCAATTTGAGCAATGTGTATTTATGTAGATGGAGAGCCACACACTGGAAAATGGGAAACCTATAAGAGGTCACAACCCTGAATAAAACTGATTCTCCTTCTAGTAGCATTAGAGTCAGAATGAGTAAGATAATTAAAGCTACTTACTTATCTGGGTTTTCTTCACAAGAGAGAAAGAAAACTTTAATGAATGTTTGAAATGTGGGGTTTCCTTTTCATGCTTTTATATTTTTTTTTTGTGGTTTAGAAATCGAGTGTCACCAGGCATTGGCCCACACCTTTAATCCCAGCACTCAAGAGGCAAAGGCAGATGAATCTCTGTGAGTTCAAGGCCAATCTGGTCTACAAGAGTGAGTTCCAGGACAGCTGGGGCTACAAGAGAAACATTGCCTCAAAAAAAATGAAAAAGAAAAGAAAAAAGAAATCAAGTGTCTGTCCTTCATTGAGATTCAGAAGGCATGGGAGATATGACCTGCTCAGGGAACTTAGGGGTACTCATGCAGGCTGACTGTTTTATAGAGCACAGGACACCGATTTAACTAGTCAGGGAGAACCTTATGGTTGCCTGCTCCCACCATGCAAGCAAGCATCTTCAAATGTGCAGAAGCTTCTTGTGCTTGATTTTATGTCAAGAGTATGCCATCAACGACTATAGCTAATAAATGCATTCAACAAGACTTCAAGAAACAAGAACAATATGAAAACCAATAGTATTTTTATGTACTTTACAAGGGACAACGCAGAAGCAAAATTTTTAAATTCATTTAGAGTAACACAAAAAGAATAAAATACTTCATAATAAATTCAATTAAAGTAGCACCAGATGCAGTCTGTGAAAACTACCAAACATCATTTTAACATATCATCCAGACAAATATATCAGGTGAGACTTTAATATAAAATGTTATTATGATGTTCATAGCAAATCATTTTCCTCCCCTTAAATAGCCATGTCTTTCTCTATCTCAGTAAATAAAATGTCTATATACTTGGTTGCAAAAGCTCATAATTATAGAAAGGAAGTTTTCACCACCAACAACTAAAACATAACCAGGAAAGAAGACTTGGCTTTGATTTCATATATTAATTCATCCCAAATCCATTTTCTTGTACTCAGAAAGTGTACTTTGCTTTTTAAAGTAACACACACAATAACAGATTTCTTTGTGGCATCATCATACATGTAGGTAGTACACGTTGATTCTACTCACCCTTCTTTTCCACTTCCTGTCACTGGTCACCAACCTCCACCAAAGAGTTAGTTTTATGACTGGTTATAGCTGCATACAACATTGTCGTTATCCATTTGTGGTTTGAATAAGAATGGCCTCCATAGGCTCATAGATTTGAATGTTTGGTCACAACAGGGAGTGGCACTTTCTGAAAGGATTAGGAAGTTTGGCCTTGTTAGAAGAAGTGTGCCACTGAAGGTGGCCTTTGAGGTTCTCAAAAGCCCAAGTCAGGTCCACTGGTTTCTTGCTCTCCTCTTGCTGCCTGCGGAGCCGGATGTAGGACTCTCAGCTGCTTTTCCAGAACAGTGTCTGCTTGCATGCTGTCAGCTGGTAATGAATTAAACCTCTGAAAGTGTAAACCAGCTCCAATTAAATGCTTTCTTTTTTGTAAGAGTTGCCATGGTCGTTGTCTTAGGGTTTCTACTGCTGTGAGGAGACACCTTGACCACAGAAACTCTTTTTTTTTTAATTATAACTTATTCTATTTTTTTTATTCATTTTACATACCAACCATAGTTCCCCCTCACTGCTCTCCTCCTGCTACCCCCCCATAACCCATCCAACCTATCTCCCATCTGCTCTTCGGAAAGGGCAAGGTCTCCAGTGGGGAGATATCAAAGCGTGGCACATTGAGGCGAGGTAGGACCAAGCCTCTTCCCGCTGCATCGATCGAGGTTGAACAAGCATCCCACCATATGGAATGGGCTCCAAAAGGCCCGCACATACACCAGGCATAGATCCTGGTTACACTGCCTGGGCTCCCACAATCAGATCAGGCTATGCATGAGCACAGCAACTCTTATAAAGGGAAATATTTAGTTGAGCCTGGCTTACAGTTTCAGATGTTCAGTTTATTATCGTCATAGTGGGAAACGTGGCTACAGGCATGTGCTGGAGAAGGAGCTGAGACGGCACAGGCAGCAGCAGGAGACGGCGCATCACAGGAGGAGTAACTTGAGCACGAGACCTCGAAGCCCATGTTCACAGTGACACATTTCCTCCAACAAGGCCCCACCTCCTAATAGTGCCACTTTCTGTGGGCCAAGCGTTGACTCAACACATGGGTCACTGGGGGCCATACCTATTTAAACCACCATGGCAATGGTGTCTCTTTAGAGCTGTAGAGCACTAAGACACCACTCAAACATTTTCACTACATGTCTGTCTGGCAGTCCCTCTAGGTCAATATGGCTCCATCCATCATGTTGTTATTTATTATGACCTAAGAGGATAAAGCTGCCATTACATTGTGTCTGCAGCCGGGAAGCAGAGGTCTGTGAGTGTTTATGCTTGGCTCATTTTCTCACCTTTATTCGTTGTGGGTCCCCAGCCTATGAAAAGGATTCACAGTGGGTGGGTCTTCACTCCTCAATTAGCCTCATCTAGAAATGTCTCAGAGGTACAAGAAGCTTGTCACCTAGGTGATTCTCCACCCCATCAAGTTGCTTATACAGATTAAACATCAAAGATCATTAACACATCCCTAACATACCTTGTTGGTGTTTTTTCCCTCCACAAAAATATATAGACAGTGGGGCTGGAGAAATGGCTCAGCAGTTAAGAGTACTGGCTGCTCTTCCAGAGGTCCTGAGTTAAATTCCCAGAAACCACATGGTGGCTCACAACCATCCGTAATGTGATCTGATGCTCTCTTCTGACATACAGGTGTACATGCAGGAGGAACACTGCAAACATAATAAATAAATAAATAAATAAATAAATACCAAGAGAAAGGGAGGTAGTACTGTGAATCAATCATGTGCTCTGATTGACAATGAGAGTAAAACATACGTGTCAGACAAAATGACTTCCTTGTCCTGAAAAGTCAATAAATGAATCAACTAGCTAAACCTTCTGGAGAGGAGAGCAGTGTGCCAGGGAGGTTATTGTATATAGTAAAATCGAGGAAAGCTTCAAAGAGCTGATATCTGAGCTAGAATAAGTTGCTTTTGTGAAGAACTGGGGAAGGGGGTTAGGTGTTCTTGGGGAGGAAAGGAGAGGTAGGAAGGACTTTGTTCTATTCAAATGCACGCATGAGCTCACACAAACTTGGCTGGAATTTCTTATGTAAAGAGAAAAATGTTGGGAAATAAGACCAGATCAGCAAACACCAGTTTGATGTCTTTTTGCTATACATTTTATTCTAAAATCAACCAATTCTAAGAACCAGTTTAAGCAAGCAGGAGCTTGTTTTCAACTTGTAAAGAGAATTTTGGCTACTTGTGAGGATCAGAGAAAGCTAGGTTGTATTGTGGTAAGGGAGCAAGGGGGCCTAAATGGATAAGAAACAAGAAATACCGGGAACTGGTCAGTGTCCAGTCCAGTTGTACAAGTGAGCTGGTGAGTGTCGTCATGTAGACATGAGGGCTGTTTATGTTTCCTTGTGGCCTCTTGTCATTCCCTTCCATTCTCATTCTAGTCCTTACTGACTAGAGTCATTTTAAATACCTAAACAAAATATATGAAGCCACATCCCCAGAACACAGAGGCCAAAGTGTGTAAGCCACGTCCTTGCGATATTTGGGAATGCTCTATCTAGCCTTTGTGCATTAACCTGCAAGAGGCTTAAATAGCAAACTCTTTTCTGGCTCAGAGCAGCTTCAGTGAATAGTTCCTTTTTCACATTAAGAATCTCTCTCTCTCCTGTGTGTGTGTGTGTGTGTGTGTGTGTGTGTGTGTGTGTGTGTATGCACGCGCACTAGTATTTTGGTGGAAGAAGTTAAAATGTATTCATGTTCCTAAACTAACTAAACACAATTCTAAACATTTTCTATTCAGCCAAATGACCTTGACTTTCCTGGCTTCAAAAGAACCCTGCCTGTAAATCATCACAGCTAAGGTAGGACTACTTTCCTCCATAAAAATCTAAGGCAAAACCATTCTGCCCAGATATTATGACCTTCCTAATTGCCCACTGAATTTTTGCCTTTGACAGAAAAGGGAAATAGGGCAGCCTTTTTGTATCCTGAGGAAACAGACATCCTCTACTGGTAGGAGATTCCTTTATAAAAGTTCTGAGGATTAAAACAGAGCCCTAGGGGAAAAAAAACTAAAAGTAGCAGACAGGTACATAAATAATGCTGGAGTATTACAAAGGATGGAATCCTACATGTGTGTGCCTGGTAAAAAGAATAACAAGGAAAGACTGCCTGATTTACAATCTTGTGGAAAGCCACTGTAGCCCTACTCAGAAAAGACTTCTGCAGTAACGTCTATCCAACACCTGCTTGTTTACAGATGTAACAATGCCATCCTTATCACTGAATTTTGAAGCCAAGATTATTATTCCAAAACAGTTGTATAATCTCCCCCATTTTGTCTCTAAAAGATCCCCCTCCTCTATCTCTTCTGATTTGCTCTTTGCTTCTTTAGGTAAAAGGGTCCAGTGACTTAGTTGGTGCTGGTTCAGACTTCTAGAGAGTTAACAGCACAACTGAAAGCTCTAGAACAAAAAAAAAGCAAACTCACCTAGGAGGAGATGCCAAAAAATAATCAAATTGAGGACTGAAATCAATAAAGTAGAAACTAGGAAAACAATACAAAGAATCAATGTAACGAAGAGTTGGTTCTTTGAGAAAATCAACAAGAGGGACAAATCTTTATCCAAACTTACCACACAGCAGAGTGTGAACATGCAAATTAACAAAATCGGAAATGAAAAGGGGGACCTAGCAATGGACACTGAGAAAATCCAGAGAATCATCAGGTCATACTTTGAAAACCTGTATTGCACAAAATTCTAAAATTTAAAGGACATGGACAATTTTCTGGATAGCTATCACTTACCGAAATTAAATCAAGAACAGACAAGTATAGGACAAATCCATATCCCCTGTTTCAGTTAGGAGGCCTGGGCAATCTATGTGGTCTCTGAGTGGTTCAGTATTTATCCCTAGCATACAAATGATCTTTGGAACCAATTTTCACATAGAGGGCTACTCACTAAGCCTGGATACATGCGGGATGGTCTAGCCCCTGCTCCAAGTGATATGACAGACTTTGAAGATCCTCCCCCATGGAAGACCTCACCCGCCCTGGGGAGCAGAAAGGGGGTGGGTGGGTGGTAGGTAGGGGGGTCAGGGGAGGAGGGGAGGGAGAGGGAACTGGGATTGACATGTAAAACAAGCTTGTTTCTAATTTAAATTTTAAAAAGAAGAAGGAAAGATGGATTCTAGGGAAGGATCTGGATGGTCTCAGTCGTTCAGATAGCACAGAGGTCGTCTGTACTATAAAGTGCATGTGGTATCTCCCCTATGGTTGGGTTCTATTGACTGAGAAACAAGACCAAGATCTAGGGCCAGGAAGCTGGGATAAACCTTATGGGAGATTTGAGTGAGGTCTGTCTGTCTGCACAGAAAGCAGTGCAGTGATTACCAGGTCACTACAACCTCAGCTCCCAGACTTCTGAGTAGAAAACAACTGTTTCCTCCTTTGAGGAGACACCCCTGCATGATTAACATTCCTGGTTTCCCTAGCGATCTGTGGGTACAAGGACCTTTGGGTACCCAACATCCCACTTTTAGCAATGGGCAGATTTCAGCTCCTCCAAAGTAAAGGAGACAAAACAAACCCAGAAACCCACAAACACGTCAGAGTTAGACTGTGCTGGGACCAAGTGGCCCTAAAGAATATTTTCAGAATAAATTAACCAGTAGCAACAGACTGCGTGTTCTCTAACATGTGGACACGTTCTCTAGAAGCAGGGTGACGGCTGATACTGATGAGCAACTGAATTGTATTTAGAGTCTCCAGGGGGAAAAACCACTAAGAGTGTTAACTAAGGGAGAAAGATCCAGCCTGAACAAGGGCAGCACCATCCCATTGGCTGGGGTCCCAGATGAATAAAAAGAAGAAACTGAGCTGAACACTAGTATCCATCTCCCGGCTTCCTGACTGCATGTGCAGCGATGTGAACAGGAGCCTCAGACTCCCTCACCAGGATGGACCTGAACCTGTGAGCTGTGACTCAAAAGATGCCCCTCCTAGCAATGCATAAGATAATAACCTGACTAGCAGTTGGCCCTAGGCAGCTCAGAGACACCACGGCAAATAGTGCTCTCTCCTGAAGCACAGGGTCAGGCAAAGTCTCAGTCTGCAGGTAGAGTTTGCAGTGGGGGAGCCCAGGGCACGGGTATCCCCATGTCCCCTCCTCCCAGTTTAGTTCTTCAGCTCCTAATGTGTGCCAGGTCCTTTTGCCAATTGTGGGCTCTCACCCGCACTGGGTGTCGATATGCCAGAGAACCAACCGGTGCCTTCTGAGGGCACCAGTTACAAAGTCCAAGCTCACAGTGGACTCGCCCAGATCTGAGAAGAGGGCCATGGCGCCACTGCTACTGCTGCTGGTGGCTGCCCTGGCCCAGACCAAGGCCCTTGTTGGTGACTGCAGGGTCGGGAGGGAAATGGCCTCTGCGGGGAGGGCGGGGTGGCACCTGGCAAGCCCTGTCTCCCCATAGCCGGCCAGGTCTTCCCGCCCCTTACCCACCTGCTTCCCGAGCCCCAAGCCTTGCTCCCCTCCTGGCCCAAGAACCTGTTTGGGGTCCAGGAGGAGGTCGAGGTCTCACCTTGTTCCTCTCCCAGGCTCGCACTCCTGCGGTATTTCCGCACCATTATGTCCCGGCCCGGCCTCGGGGAGCCCCGGTTCATTGCAGTGGGTTACGTAGACGACACGCAGTTCGTGCGCTTCGACAGCGACGCCGAGAATCCAAGATATGAGCCGCTGGCACCTTGGGTGGAGCAGGAGGGGCCGGAGCATTGGGAGAGGCAGACAAGGTTCGTCAAGAACAGCGAGCAGGTTTACCGACAGAACCTGAGGACCCTGCTGGGTTACTACAACCAGAGCGCCGGTGGTGAGTAACCCCGGGTCGGAGGTAAACCTCTCAAGACCTTAAGAACCGGCCTGGAGTCGCCCTGGGTCACAAGTCCGAGGTCTAGGAGGAGGACATCTGGGACCAGGACCCGGTTTCCCTTTCAGTTTAGAGAATCAGCAGGTGGACAGGCAGCAGGGCAAGGATAACCCCAGGGCTGGAAAGGTGGGCGGGGCTGACCTCGGGTTCCTTGCAGGCTCTCACACCATTCAGGTGATGCATGGCTGTGACATGGGGTCAGACAAGCGACTGCTCCGTGGTTACCATCAGGACGCCTACGATGGCTGAGATTACATTGCCCTGAACGAGGACCTGAGGACTTGGACCACTGCAGACACAGCGGCTCAGATCACCCAGCGCAAGTGGGAACGGGCTGGTTTTGCAGAGCATGAAAAGGCCTACATAGAGGGCACCTGCTTGGAGTGGCTCAGCAGATACCTGGAGAACGGGAAGGAGCAGCTGCTGCGCACAGGTGCAGGGGTCACAGGCAACTCCTCCCACTGCCCTCGGGCTGGGCTCAGTCCTGAGGAAGAAGAGACCCTCAGGTGGGGTCCCGCCCCTGTCTCTGAGGGGACACAGTGTCCCTGGGGCCCCTGATCCAGCCTGGCAGGGATTGCACTGATCTCCGAGGGCTCAGCCTTCTCCCTGGAAGGTTCCAGATCTGTCTCAGGAGGAGAGAAAATGCCCACATCCCCAGCAGTGGCGCCTTCAGTCTGCAGCCCTGGGTCAGCCATGGCTTCTCCCAGGCTGGGTTCTCTGCCCAGACCCAGTGTCTGAGTGTGTCAGCCTTACACACCAGGACCGGAAGTCTCCTGTACCTGATAGGAGAGGAGGACGCCCTGCCCTAGGCTGGTTCCCCAGTTTTAGAACTTTCCAAAGAATACATTCTCCCAGCTTCCTGTGTGTGAGGTTTGCATGGCTCCCTCATTCCAATTTTATCTCTTCCTAGAATGAACATTTATGGGGAGCCCTAGGAGAATTCTAAACTGTGGGGTTTGCTTTCTGTCTTTTCTCTTTTCTCTCTTCTATTTTGAAGTTGTCATTTTGCTTTTAGTCGATTTTCTCCCTCCCTCTGCTGCTATTGCTTCTCTCCCTCCCCTTGCACTATCATGGGTGTCAGTCTCACAGGTGCCACGGGGGCCTCGTGCTCCAGATAAGTAGACAAGTTATGTCAGTGTCCTCCTTAAATGAGAAAAATTCCAGTGATTTAAACTATTTTCTGCCAGAATTAACCATCCAGAGCTCCCTGCTCTCCCTCAGCCCCAACAAGTTACTGTGTTGTCCCAGTGAATTAGGAGGTGAACTTCCTCACAGACAGGGGCTTCTGCAACTCAAAGACATGAATGACAGGGAAAATCCACACAGCCCTGTGAGCACCGCTGTGTCCCAGTGAGTCCTCACAGGGCTCCAAAGCAGCTTCCAGGGATCCTGGGTGACAACACCTTGTATCTTGTCCCCCCCAGGAGCAGGGCTTGAAGAGTCATTTTCTCTGAGTGTCAGAGGTTCACCCCATTTCTGCTGTACACTTTGGTGATGGCTGTTCACCTGGACAGACAGTGATGCTGCTCAGAAAGATGGCCACAGTGCTTGTGCCTCAATAGTGTCAACAATAGTTGGGGTACCCTTTATGTACCCTGTGCCCCTAATTTCTTATTTTGATATGCGTCACATATAAAAATTATTTTCCAACCCTTCTTCTAGTCTTTTACCACCTAACATATGCTATAGAACATCATATAAGGAAGACCATGTGGCCCTCCTGGGACCCCCAGGAAAATGTGCAGTTCTGTGATGAGGGGGACCAGCTCCACCTGCAGGTCACTAGTGAGATGACAGCCAGAAGTGATCACACACATAGTTCAGTGTCATCATTGGTTTAACTTAGTCTTTGCAGATTTCAGTTTGTCTTGTTATTGTGGGGTTTCTTAAATCTTCCACACAGATCCCCCAAAGGCACATGTGACCCATCATTCTGGACCTAAAGGTGATGTCACCATGAGATGCTGGGCCCTGGGCTTCTACCCTGCGGACATCACCCTGACCTGGCAGAGGGAGGAGGAGGAACAGACTCAGGACATGGAGCTGGTGGAGACCAGACCATCTGGGGATGGAACTTTCCAGAAGTGGGCATCTGTGGTGGTGCCTTCTGGGGAGGAGCAGAAATACACATGCCATGTGCACCATGAGGGGCTGTCTGAGCCCCTCACCCTGAGATGGGGTAAGGAGGGAGTGGGTGCAGAGCTGGGGTCAGAGAAAGATGGAGTCTTCTGCAGATCCTGAACAGAGTCAGGGCTGAGAGCTGGGATCATGACCCTCACCTTCCCTTCCTGTCCTTCCCTTCCCAGAGCCTCTTCAGTCCACTGTCCCCATCATTGCAGTCATTGCTGTTCTGGTTCTCCTTGGAGCTGTGATCATTGGAGCTGTGGTGGCTGTTGTGAGGAAGAGGAGGAGAAACACAGGTAGGAAAGGGCAGGGTGTGAGTTCTCTCTCAGCCCCTTTTAGAAGTGTGCTCTGCTCATGGAAACACCCCCACACCCCCACACCTCCTGTCTCTAGCACGGGACTTCTGTTGGTTCTGGAAACTTCCTAGGGTTGGGCTCCTCCCTGGTCTCTCACAGCTTTTGTTCTCACAGGTGGAAGAGGAGGGAACTATGCTCCAGCTCCAGGTAAGTGTGGGGAGCAGGATTGTCCCTGAAACTGGTGGGGTGAACCTGGAGTGCTTAGGAGGCCTCTGGAAATCCATAATAGCTCCTCCAGCAAAATCTTCTAGGGGCCATGTTTTTACCTTCTTATGAATATATGTGTTTTTACCCAAGGCAGGGACAGTTCCCAGAGCTCTGATGTGTCTCTCCCAGACTGTTAAGGTGACACTCTGGGACCTGAGTTGGGATTGGGGTGGGGGGCAAAGTGGACGTGATTGGGTTTCAGGGACCCCCAGAATCACCTGTGAGTGAGTGGTGTGTTGTTGGGATGTTGTCTCCACAGTGATTGTTCATGACTCTTGTTCTGTAGCTTAAAGACAGCTGCTGTGGACGGAGTGACAAAAAGTGTGTTCAGGCCTCTCCTGTGACATCCAGAGCCCCTCAGTTCACTCTCAGCAAAGGTGTCTGATGTTCCCTGTGATCCTATGGGCTCAATGTGAAGATCAGCTAAGCCCAGCCCAGCCCTGCACACCAGGACCCTGTCCCTGCACTGCCTGTGTTCCCTTCCACAGCCAACCCTCATGTTCCAGTAGACAGGAGGGGACATCTCCATCCTGTCACCTCCATGATGCCCTGAGCTGTAGACCCTGACTTCCCCAATGAAAATAAGGATCTCAATTTGAACTTGATTGTTCACATCCTTGATCTGACAGGTTGATTGGCTGTTAAATAAATTATTGAGATACTTAGAGATTGTGGAGGAAATAAACATTAATGTGGAGAGCCTCCCAGAATCTGTGTTCATTGTATTGGGTGCATCTGGTGGGACAGAATGAGACTGTGTGGAAACTGAGTGTGAAAAAGGGTGTGTCTACATGGAACTCAGTCCGTTGTTGGCTGTGACATGGTCACTCCTCAGCTCTGTCACCTCCTGGCTCTGTTCTCCTCATCACTTAGAACCACATGCTGAGATCTGTTATCACAGGGACACAGAGATGGCCAGAGCTTTGTCTTGTCCCAGGATTGTGAGCAGCCAGGGCAGCTGTGACATGTCGCCTGGGCTATGACCTGGCTGTGTCTCTTACCCCATATTTGCTGTGTATTGTAGTGTTTTTAGTTTCTGTGGAGCACTGGACCTGTTCTTGTTCCTGTGGGTGGAGTCTGTCTCCTTATCCCTTGTGCCCCCTGAGTGACAGCATTAAAATGTATTTCTCCTTCCTTTCCTATCAGGACCCAACTAGATCCCTGCACTCAGGAGACTGTGGCCTGAGAACATGAACTTCTGTCTCCTCAGCTCCTGCCTCATTCCAGGCCCCTCCCTGGTTCTCTCCTTTCCCATCATTTAGAATTTAACCAGAGTTGTAGGATGGCAGAGAGGAGGGATCACAGGGTCTCATCTTAGATCTGTCCTGTTGGATCTGTGTTCTGCCCAAGGTCCCCTCTCCCTCCCTGGCTCTGGGAATTCTGGTGCTGCCTCCAGTGGAGATTCCAGGATTTGCAGGCTGAGTCTACTTTAGATTTGTGTTTGTTTAAAAGATATGATCCAGGGACTAAAGAGATGGCTCAGGATTTCAGATCACTGGCTGTTCTTGCAGAGGAACCATGTTAGACACCAGCACCTACACCGTGGCTGATAGCCATCCGTAACTCCTGTTCCATAGCATGAAATGCCCCCTGTGGACACCAGATAGACACATGGTGCAAATACCTACAGGCAAGAATTCATTCACAGATGTAAAATAATGAATGTTTAAAAATAGGTTGTGGGGGGCTGGAGAGATGGCTCAGAGGCTAAGAGTACTGACTGCTCTTCCAGAGGTCCTGAGTTCAATTCCCAGCAACCACATGGTGGCTCACAACCATCTACAATTCAATCTGGCACCCCCTTCTGGTATGTAGGCAGAACACTGTATATGTAATAAATAAAATAAATCTTTAAAAAGATAGGTTGTGGGAACACCAGATATGGAAAGTACTTTATCCCCTGCTCCAGGTTCTGGCACCTGTGTTTTCTCTTCTAGCCTTGTGACTTCAAGTCAGGAGCTCCAGGAGTCTTAGCAGAGATGTCTGATGACCAAGGAGGTGATAATCTCTGTCGTGATGCAACTATCTTTGTCTTGTGAGGGATGATAACTTCTAGTGCCTGGGACCCAGCAAACATTCATATACCCAAAAAAAGTTTGATGAATGAAGTAAAAAAAAAAAAGGATGATAGATCATAGACAGAAAGGCAGGTAGGTGGGGGGGCGTGGGAGGGAGAGGTGGGCTTTGCTGAGTGGAGAGCTCAGGTGACCCTGACCTCAGTGTGAGGGGACCTGGTGCTGCCCCTGACACACCAGCACTTGGCTGAGGTTGTATTAGCAAAGGGAGCTCCTGTAGAAGAGGGAGGCGATGGTGTGAATTTTCCTCTAGAGTGAAGGAACCTTCCTTCTGGAGTCAGGAGGAGGCTGATGAGGCTCAGGAAACACAAGAAGCTACAGGTTCACGGAGCTGACACAATGTAGCACTTCCCTCTCAGGGTTAAACCAGCTGTGGTTCCTGAGGGAGAGGAGTCTGTTGAGCAGAGCAGCTGGGAGCTGTGCAGGGGACTCAGTGATGCAGCTGCCTGAGTGACATGCACACTGGGGTGGGATGTCAGTGCTTATCCCTGACTCACCCAGGATCCTGTGAGTGACCAGTGAGCTCAGGGCTCACTGAGCTGATGGTGAATGGATGTTCTCCTTGGTCTGCTGTCACTGTCTTATTTGGGGAGGAGGAAATCCACTTCTCAAGCAGGGGACACAGTGGTCTGTTCCAGATGTGAGATGTGAGCCCTGTTTCTGAGACTCACTGGGTAGTGATACGGTGTTGCTGGTCTCCTGGAGCCAGCACTGTGGTGGGCAGACGCCTGTGATACAGTGAAGGGAATAAACAAGGACAGGTTGTCTCAGGAGCTGGAGGGCAGAAGGGGAGATACCCAGAGGGCAGGTGAATAGAACAAGGTATAGACTTACTCTTTTTAAAAGATTTATGGTGTGAATTTTCTAGGTCTCTGAAATCAGAGGCAGGTGAATTTCTGGGAGTTCAAGGTCTACAAAGAAATAGTATTTTTTTCAATCATGTGTATGTATGAGTAATTTTCTGTTTTTGTGATGAAAGACCATGGCCAAGCCAACATTTGGAAGAGTGTGTTTGGGCTACAGTTCCAATGGCTGAGAGTGCATCATGGCAAGAGAGCAGTGCCCTGAGCAGCAGGCAGAGAGTCCTGAGCAGGAAGCCCAGAGCTCACATCTCAGTGGCAAACAGGAAGCAGAGAGAGCAAAATGGAGGCAGATGGGACTTTCCCCCCACAGCCCTCCCTATTTCCAGTGTCTCTGAAGCTTGCAGAGCAAGATGTGAGCTCTCAGCTGCTCCAGCCACCATTCCTTTCCTCTGCCACCATGGACTCAAAATTTCTGAAAACCTAAGACCAAATTAAATGTTTCCTTTTGTAAGTTGCTGGTGTCACAGTGTGTTATACCAGGCATAGAAAAAAAGTAAAGCCAGGTGTTCACACAAACCTTTAGCCCTAGTACTTGGGATACGAAGGCAGGTGGTTCTCTGAGTTCAAGACGAGCCTGATCTACATAGTAAGATTCAGGACAGCCAGAATGGAGGAGACAGACCTTGTCTCAAAAACAGAAACAAAAACAAAATCACCAGGAGACACCCACAGCCCAGAACATTTCATTCTCTCCTCACCCTTCCTCTTCCTTCTCTTCACAAGCTAGACTCCGGATCTTCCAGAAGAAAAGTCACTTCCGGGAACACAATGGCAACAACACTAGTGTCGGGATACAGGGGAGAGATGATTTCTCTCTAAAGTAGAGGCCCTGGCCTGCAAGCACCACACAGATTCCCACAGACACCAGGCTCCTGTGTCCACCTGCAGGGGGCGCTCACACTGCCAAGCCTGGTGCTCTGGAACCTCCCTTTTAAATAGACTTTGCTCATCACTCAGGATCCAGTCTTCACAGCCTTGTGCTTACACTCAGATTCCTAGTGTTTCTTCCCAGATGACCGTCTGTGGCTCCAGGTGGTTGTGTCTTACACGGATCTTCTCTCCATAGTCCTGAGATTGTCTGTGTGGACCTGGGTCATCGTCTCAGCACAGTTGACCCCTTCCCCACTGGGACAAAGATCTGGTGGAGACAGAATACAGTATCACAGCGATCCCTGTCTACACTGCACATTTCCCCGTGTCCACACACTTCAGTGGTAAAGTTGCTTTAGTGAATAAACCACAGTGAGAGAGGGATTGTAACTAAGTATAAAGCAGAATAATGATGATAGTGTGGTAGAAGTTATGCAACCTGTGACTCTCTGTCTCTCTGTCTGTCTCTGTCTATCTGTGTCTCTGTCTCTCTTGGTCTCTCTCTGTCTCTCTCTGTCTCTGCCTCTCTCTCTCTCTCTCTCTCTCTCTCTCTCTCTCTCTCTCTCTCTCTCTCTCTCTCTCTCTCTCGGTCTTGCACTAGCTCTTCCTGTCTCTCTCTGACCTCACTCACACTTTACTAGATGACGGAGATGAACGTCATAGGCTTGTGGGGCCCTGGGCCTGATAACCATTTGGCACCTGAGTTCCTCAGCCTGTGCAGTGTGGACACTGGACAGAGGGTGATTCTCATGGCAGAGATACACACTGGGGATTCTAGGTTTTGTCCTACAGTTCTGTAGTGTGAAGAAAAATCAAATGTACATATTTTATTTGTTTGTTTCTGTGGATTGTGATTGATGTCTCCAAGTTCCAGCCACACATACCTGAAGTAGAAAGTGAAAGCAGAGGAGGGTAGAGAGTCCTTCCTGCATGGAGTCACGCATGACACAGTGTGTCCAAAGGGCTTGACCAGAGCTGTGAAAACTCCAGTCACCTCCCATGCAGGTGTCCACGGCGGCCCCATGCACTCACCAGGACTACAACAGCACCTGTTTCCTTGAACATTCATTTTAATTGCTGCCTTTATTTTATGTGGAAATTTCTAGCTCTTAGGTATCATCCTGACCTGAGGAGCAGTTGGCCTTATGCTGCTAAGAGACACCTGGACAAACAGCGATCTGTGATTTGTCCTGCAGCACGGGGTCAGACAAAGTCCCCAGCTGTGAGGTCTGGGTGGGGAAGCCCAGCACTTGGGATTCCTCTGTCCCCAGTTTCACTTCTCCAGCTCCTGAACTGTGTCAGCTCCTTCTGCCCGGACACTGATAACGACTCGATTCTCATCTCCACTGGGTGTCAAGATTCCTGGGAACCAACCAGCTTCGCCAAGGGGGCACCGGGTATAAAGTCCATGCAGGGAACCCTGACGCCCAGATCTGAGATGGGGGCTATGACTCTGCTTGCACTGCTCCTGCTGCTGGCGGCCGCCCTGGCCCCGACCCAGATCCGCGCGGGTGAGTGCGGGGTCGAGAGGGAAACGGCGTCTGCGGGGAGGGCGGGGGCGGCACCGGGGAATCCGCGTCCCCGTATCGCCCGGCCAGACCCTCCCGCCCCTTCCCCTCCCGCGTCCCGAGCCCCGCGCCCCGCTCCCCTCCCGGCCCGCGCGCACCTGCCGGGGGGACCCTGGAGGAGGTCGGGGTCTCACCGCGCGCCGTCCCCAGGCTCGCAATCCATGCGGTATTTCTACACCATCATGTCCCGGCCAGGCCTCGGGGAGACCCGTTTCGTCTCTGTTGGCTACGTGGACTACACGGAGTTCGTGCGCTTCGACAGCGACGCGGAGAATCCGAGAGTGGAGCTGCGGACGCCGTGGATAGAGAAGGAGGGGCCCGAGTATTGGGAGAGGGAGACACAGATCGCCAAGGGCACTGAGCAGACTTTCCTTCCTATTTGACCTGAGGAACATGCTCAGTTGCTACAATCAGAGTGAGGGTGGTGAGTGACCCCGGGTCGGAGGTCACGACCTTCATGTCCCGAAGTCCCCCAGGGTACCAATTCCGAGGTCTGGAAAGCAGAGAACACAGACTGGGACCCGGTTTCCCTTTCAGTTTAGATGATGCGCGGGTGGGCGGGGTCGCGATGCAGGGCTGAACACTTGGTCCCGCAGGCTCTCACTACTTCCAGGGCATGTACGGCTGTCACTTGGGGTCGGACGGGCGCCTCCTTCACGGGTACAGTCAGGATGTGTACGATGGCGAGGATTACATCTCTCTGAACGACGACCTGAGGACATGGACTGCGGCAAACACAGCAGCAGCCCTTATCACCCGGAGCATGTGGGAGGAGGATGGTATAGCTGAGCAATGGAGGGCAGATACCTGGAGGGCGCATGCATGCCTTGGCAGATACCTGGAGCATGGGAAGGAGCAGCTGCTGTGCACAGGTGGAGGGCCCAGGGCAACTCCTCCCCCTGCCCTTGGGCTGGGCTGGGTCCTGAGGAAGAAGAGACCTCAGCTGGGGTCCTGCCCCTGTCTCTGAGGGGACACAGTGTCCCTGGGGCTCCTGATCCAGCCTGGCAGGGACTGCACTGATCTCCCAGGGCTCAGCCTTCTCCCTGGACAGATCCAGATCTGTCTCAGGAGGGAGAAGAGAAGACGCCCACATCCCCAGCAGTGGCTCCTTCAGTCTGCAGCCCTGGTCAGCCATGGCCTCTCCCAAACTGGGTTCTCTGCCCAGACCCAGTGTCTGAGTGTGTCAGCCTTACACACCAGGACCGGAGTCTCCTTTACTTGATGGGAGACGTGGACGCCCTTACAATAGGCTGGTTCCCCAATTCGTAGAACTTTCCAAATAATACATTCTCCCAGATTCCTGTGTGTGAGGTTTGCATCCCTACCTCACCCCAATTCTATCTCTTCCTAGAATGGTCACGTGGCAATTATGGATTGCCCTGGAAAGAACTGTAAATTATGGGGGTTTTCTTTTTCTTTTATCTCTTTGTTTTTATTAAGTTGTCATTTTGCCTTCATCAGTTTTTCTACCTCACTGGTAAAACTCCTTTGGCCCTCCCTTTTTATTATAACCTGTATCGTTCTCCACAGGTATCATGGGGGACTGCCAATCTGATAATTAGACAACTCAGTGTTCCCTTTAAACAAAAGATTCCCATGATCTTAGACTATTTGCTGCCAAAATTAACCACTCAAACTCCCACTGTTCTTCCTCTACCCCAAGAAGTTACAATGTTGCCCCCAGTGAATTAGGAGGTGAACTACCTCAGAGACAGGATCTTCTGCAACTGAAGGACTGGAGTGACAGAGAAAATCCACACACCCCTGTGATCACCGCTGTATCTCAGTGAGTGCTGCACTGGACTCCACAGCAACTTCCAGGGATCCTGGGTGACAACACCTTGTATCTTGTCCCCCAGAGGCTGGGGTTGGGGAGTCACTTTCTCTGCCCCAGTGTCAGAGGTTCACCCCATTTCTGCCGCACACTTGGTGATGGCTGTTCACAGGGGTTCTGCCTCAATAGTGGCAGCAGTAGTTGTTGGAACCCTTTATGTAGCCTGTGCCCCTAATTTCCTATTTTGATATTAATTTAATCACATATATAAATTATTTCCATTCTTTTCCACCTAACTTATGCTATAGAACATCACATAAGGAAGACCATGGGACCTACTGGGTCATGTGATTCCCTCTCAGCTTCTGGGTCCCCCAGGAAAGTGTGCAGATCTGTGATGAGGGGGACCAGCTCCACCTGCAGGTCACTAGTGGGATGACAGTCAGAAGCGTTCAGACACATAGTTCAGTGTCATCAGTGATTTAACATTCTTTGCAGATTTCAATTTATCTAGTTACTGTGGAATTTCTTAAATCTTCCACACAGATCCCCCTAAGGCACATGTGACCCATCATCCTGGACATAAAGGTGATGTCACCCTGAGGTGCTGGGCCCTGGGTTTCTACCCTGCTGACATCACCCTGACCTGGCAGAGGGAGGAGGAGGAACAGACTCAGGACATGGAGCTGGTGGAGACCAGACCTTCCCGGGATGGAACCTTCCAGAAGTGGGCATCTGTGGTGGTGCCTTCTGGGGAGGAGCAGAAATACACATGCCATGTACACCATGAGGGGCTGCCTGAGCCCCTCACCCTGAGATGGGGTAAGGAGGGAGTGGGTGCAGAGCTGGGGTCAGGGAAAGATGGAGCCTTCTGCAGAGCCTGAGCAGGGTCAGGGCTGAGAGCTGGGGTCATGACCCTCACCTTCCCTTCCTGTCCTTCCCTTCCCAGAGCCTCCTCAGTCCACTGTCCCCATCAAGGCTGTCATTGCTGTTCTGGTTCTCCTTGGAGCTGTGACCGTCATAGGAGCTGTGGTGGCTGTTGTGAGGAAGAGGAGGAGAAAACAGGTAGGAAAGGGCAGGGTCTGGCTTTTCTCTCAACCAATTTTAGCAGTGTGCTCTGCCTCATGGAAACACATCCACACACTCCCTAATTGATCCTGTCTCTGACCTGGATCTGCTGTCGGTTAAGGAAATTGCCTAGGATTGGGCTCCTCCCTGGTCTCTCACAGCTTTTCTTCTCACAGGTGGACAAGGAGGGAACTATGCTCCAGCTCCAGGTAAGTGTGGGGACCAGGATTGTCCCTGAGACCTTTAGGGTGGACCTGGAGTGTTTGAGGTGCTCTGGCAACCCATATTAGCTCCTCCAGAAGAATGTTCTAGTGGCCATGTTTTTTACTTTCATATACGGATAGTCGCCCAAGCTCAGGTGTGTCTCACCCAGATTGTAAAGTTGACGCTCTGGGACCTGATATGGGGTGTGGGAGGGGCAAAGTGGACATGATTGGGATTCAGGGACTCCCACAATCACCTGTGAGTGACTGGTGGGTTTTTGTGATGTTGTCTTCAGAGTGATTGTTCATGACTCTTGTTCTGTAGCATGAAGACAGCTGTGTGGACTGAGTGACAGACAGTGTGTTCAGGACTCTCCTGTGACATCCAGGACCCCTTAGTTCACTCTCAGCAGCAGTGTCTGATGTTCCCTGTGATCCTATGGGCTCAATGTGAAGCTCAGCCCAGCCCAGCCCTGCACCCCAGGACCCTGCCCCTGTACTGCCTGTGTTCCCTTCCACAGCCAACCCTCATGTTCCAGCAGACAGGAGGGGACATGTCCATCCTGTCACCTCCATGCTACCCTGAGCTGAAGCTCTGACTTCCCCACTGAAAACAGAGATCTCAATTTGAACTTGATTGTTCATGTCATTGATCTGACAGGTTCATTAGCTGTTAAATAAATTATTGAGATACTGAGAGGTTGAGGAGGAAATAAATGGAAGTGTGGAGAAATTCCCAGACTCTGTGCTCATTGTGCTGTGTGCATCTGCTGGGACAGGTGATGTCGTGGGAGCTGAGTGAGAACAGGGATGTGTCCAGGTGCAGCTCAGTCCATTGTTGGCTGTGGCATGGTCACTCCTCAGCTCTGTCACCTCCTGGCTCTGTTCTCCTCATCACTTAGAACAACATCCTGAGATCTGTGATCACATTATCCTGTTACCTCCTCCTGCTCTGAGCTTCAGGTCCTAAGTTCGTCACTGAAACTAAGGATCTCAATTCGAATTTGATTGTTCACATCCTTGAGCTGACAGGCTGATAGCTGTTAAATGTATTATTGAGATACTTAGAATTTGAGGAGGAAGTGAATGGCAGCATGGAGAACCTCCCAGAAATGTGCTCATCATGTTCTGTGTCTCTGGTGTCACAGGATGAGGCTGTGGGAGCTGAGTGAGAGCAGGGTTGTGCCCAGGTGCAGCTCAATTTGACATTGGCTGTGACATGGTCACTCCTCAGCTCTGTCACCTCCTGGCTCTGTTCTCCTCATCACTTGAAAGCACATCCTGAGATCTGTGATCACAGGGACACAGGGATGGCCAGAGTCCTGTCCTGTCCCAGGAGTGTGAGCAGCCAGGACTGGTGGGACAGGCCAGCCTGGGCTCTAACCTGGCTGTAGCTCTTTACCCCATATTCGCTGTTTATTGTTGTCTTTTTACTTTTTATGGAGCACTTGGCCTGTTCTTGTTCCTTTAAGTGGAGCCTGCCTCCTTATCCCTTGTGCCTCCTCAGTGACAGCATTCAAATGTGTTTCTCCATCCTTTCCCATTAGGACCCTTCTAAGCCCCTGCACTCAGGAGACTGTGACCTAAGGACATGAACTTCTGTATCCTGAGCTCCTGCCTCCTTCCAGTCCTCTCCCTGCAGGCTCTCTCCCTCTTTCCCGTCATTTAGAATTTAAGCAGAGTTGTAGGATGGCAGAGAGGAGGGATCCACAGGGTGTCATCTCAGATCTGTCCTGTTGGATCTGTTCAGCACTAGGTCCCCTCTCCCTCCCTGGCCCTGGGAAACATGGTGCTGCTTCCAGTGGTGACTCCAGGCTTAGTCTACTTTGGATTGATGTTTATTTAAAAGACATGATCCCTTTTGTCTTGTTGACTGTGTCCCTTGCCTTACAGAAGATTCTCAGTTTCAGGAGGTACCATTTATTAATTGTTGATCTCAGTGTCTGTGCTACTGGCCTTATGTTCAGAAAGTGATCTCCTGTACCAATTAGTTCAAGGATACCTCCATATCTATATCTATATCTATATATCTATATCTATCTATATATATATGGTTTCTCTCTGGCTTTGGAGACTGTCCTAGAACTAGCTCTTTCAGACCAAGCAAGTCTGGAACTCACAGAGATCCACCTGCCTCTAACTCCTGAGTGCTGGGATTAAAGGCATGTGCCACCACTGCCCACCCCCACTTTTTCTTCTATGATATTCAGTGTGGCTGGGTTTTGATCCATTTGAACTTAACTTTTGTGCATGGTGGTAGATATGGATCTATCTGCAATCTACATGCAAACATCCAGTAATGCCAGCACCATTTATTGAAGAAGCTTTCTTTTTTCCATTGTGTAAGTTTAGCTTCTTCGTCAAAAATTAGGTGTTCACAGGTGTGTGTTAATATCAGCATTTTGAATTGGATTCCATTGGTTGACCTCTCTGTTTTTGTGCCAGTACCAAGCTGTTTTCATTACTATAGCTCTCTAGTAGAACTTGAAGTCAGGGATGGCGATGCCTCTGGGAGTTCCTTTATTGTACAGGGTTGTTTTGATTGTCCTGGGTTTTTTGTTTTTCCATATAAAGTTGAGTATTGTTCCTTCAAGGACTGTGAAGCAAGACAAAATGGCAGTCAACAAAACGGGAAAAGATCTTCACCAACCCAACATCTAACAGAGTGCTGATTTCCAAAACATACAAAGAATTCAAGAAGCTAGTCACCAAAACACCACATAATCCAACGAAAAACTGGGGTCCAGAACTAAATAGAGAATTCTCAATAGAGGATTCTAAAATGGCTGAAAGACACTTAAGAAATTGTTCAACATCCTTAGCTATCAGGGATGTGCAAATCCAAACAACTCTGAGATACCATCTTACACCTGCCAAAACACCAGTGATAGTTTGTGCTGGAGAGGATGTGGAGAAGGGGAGCACTCCTCCATTGCTGATGGGAGTGTAAACTTGTACAGCCACTTTGGAAATCAGCATGGCAGTTTCTGTGGAAAATGGGAATCAGTCTACCGCAAGATCCAGCAATTCCAGTCTTGGGCATATACCCAAAGGATATAAAATCAAATAACAAGGATATCTGTTCAAATATGTTCATAGCAGCATTGTTTGCCATAGCCAAAAGCTGGAAGCAACTTCGATGCCCCTCAACCAAAGAATGTTTAGAGAAAATGTGGTATATTTACACAATGGAGTGTACTTAGCTGGAAAAAAAACAATAAAATCTTGAAATTCCCAGATAAATGGATGGAACTGGAAGAAACCATACTGAATGAGGTAACCCAGTCACAGAAAGACAAGCATGGCATGTACTCACTCTTATATGGAGATTAAACACAGAGAAAAGGACTACCAGCCTGCAGTCCACAGCTCCAGAGAATCTAGGAAACAAGGACCCTAAGAGAGACATACAGGTCCATGGGTTGTGGAATCTCTCTCTCTGGCTAAGGAAAGCAGCTGAAGCCAGCTGTGTCAGGGATGTCCCTGCATGAAGGTCCAGAGAGGCCATTGCATGAAAGGATGACACAGTCGTGGGACACATCTCAAAAACAGGGGCTAAAACTCTGTGGACTCAGCCCAAGAGAGAAGGGTGTAGCGGTCAACAGAGCTAAAAGGAGTTAGAGATCTGAAGACTGCTTTGACATCACACATGGAGATGCAGATTGAAGTTTGCCCAGCTGGAGTTTGGTCTTGCTTTGGTCCAGTATTCCCTCACTGTGCTCACTGTTCTGTCTCTTGGAACAGTAATGTGTATCTTGTGCCACACTGTAGGTTGGAAATATGTGCTTTACCCCTTAATTTTGATTTTAGTGAGAGTTCAGTTCAGACTTTGCCAGGATTCTCATAAGATACTTTGAACTTTGGACTTTTTTATTGATTTATCTATTTATTTACTTATTTATTATGCATGCAATGTTGTGTCTGCATGTGTGCCTGCAGGCCAGAAGAGGACACCAGATCTCATTGCAGATGATTGTTAGTCAACAAGTGGCTACTGGGAATTGCACTAAGCTCCTCTGGAAGAACAGTCAGTGTTCTTAACCTCCGAGCCATCCCTCAAGCCAGAACATTAGACTTTTACACAGGGTTGAGACTGTGATTGACTCTGGGGACTTTTGACGTTCAACTGAATGACTCAAGAAACAACAAATATATAAAGTTGTCTGTTCTCATGTGAAGAGCTGGGGAGCCCAGCCTAGCACACCATTACATACATCTGGACTTAAGAACTAAACTGAAATAAGATAGCTCAGCAGAGGAAAATGATGCAAATGTAGTTAATTCAAGTTTTACCAAGTGTGCACCTTCCTGAGGAACTGAAGACTTAAAGAAGCAGTTAGCATCAATACATATATACACTGGCTTGTATAGAAAGTAGTGATCTGTGAAAATGTGGTAAGACAAGTGAAAACAATTGGGTAGAGAAGTGACCAGGAATGTAAGTGTTTGTATAGTTTTTCCTCAGTCTCAGCTACTTTCATGACAAGAATGTCATTGTCCTTCTGGTAAGGAATAGGTGGGTGGAGAATCTTACAAAAGGGAATTTCATTTGGGGCTTTTAGAAGCAACAAGTATCAGAGTGATCTTCTTGCACTTCCTGTTTGTTTAGTGTCTTTAGCTTAAGATAATCCTGATGTCAAAGTAACATATTTGGGGATGTGTGTACTGAAAGAGCTCCCAAGGGCAGAAGCTTTCTTTTTGTAGGACTATCCCAAGTCTGTCACCCACAGAGGTTTGGTAAAATTGAGGTGACATCATTGTGTAATTCCAAGACACTGAAGGACCCAGGCAGTGATCCTCAATGACATCTAGACATCATTAAAAGAGAGAAACAGCTCTAAATCCCTAGAGGAAAGGTCATACACTACTTATGTAAGACTGTTGGGTTATTGTGTGCCCTGAATGTTTGACTGTATGAAGTATATGCCTGTCAGTTTTCACTGTCCACTTGACTACACTTAGAATTGCCTAGAAGACATGCCTCTGTCATGTCTGTGAGGGTGTTTCTAGAGTTCAAGAGAGGAGGAGCCTCCATCTTGAACATGAACACCACCAATCCATGGGCCATAAACACAAATGAATAAAATGAGGAGAAATTGGGTAAGCCCGCTGAATTCCAGTTTCCTGAATGCATATGTAATGTGACCAGCTACAGTATGTTAATATTGCTATACCTTCCCCTACAAGGAAGCACTCCCCTCCCCTACAATGTAAACCCTTCCTTCCTTAAGTTGCTATGTGTTCGGTGTTTCATTCTAGATATGAGCAAATTTAGTAATACAAAGTGTGTCCTGAGCTTTTAATTGATAATGATAAAGGATGAGTTTCCCACTTTTTTGGTATGTGATGAAATTATTATAGTATGTAAAACTGCCTTTTAAATTATCAGAAGGAATAGTTTAGATAATATGATACCTATACATTATAACTCTAATATATATATACATGTTTATATTATACACATATATAATTGTATTATATGAATCAGTGTACCATTTTTCTTCCTCTAGGAATGGACATCTTTCCAGTTAAAAAGTTTTCTGAACTAGCTTACTTTCTGTTGTTTGGCAAACACCAAGAGCAACAGTAACTTGGGGAGGGAAAGGTTATTTGACTTCCTCCTCCAGAAAATAGTCCATCACTGAGGTAACTCAAGTCAGGAACCTGGAAGCAGGAGCTGCAGCAGAGAACATGGAGGCCCCTTGATTGCTCGCTTGCTCTCTGACTTCTGTT